TGGGCAAAGCGCTGACGGCGGTGGAGACGGAGAGGGTTTGGAACGGTGAACGGGGCAGTGTAGGCGAAGCGCTGAAAACGGTGTGGGTGGTGGGGTGGCGGTGTCGCTAACTTTTGAAGCCTGTTACTTCTTCTTGACGGGAAGACAAGCAAAAACCGACCCTTCGGGATTTCACTGGCGCCGCCCCAGCAGGGGTCGGCGGATAGTTTGGAACAAAACAGAGACAGCAAGCACACGTGTGTGTGTGTGTGTGTCTCTGTATGTGTGTCTGGGTGTGTGCACAATTGCGCGCGTGTTCTAAGTTTTGTAAGGCAAGCAGTCCGATTAACGCGCCCTTCGAGAGGTATTACATGCTGAGATCCACATGCCTGCATAAACTGTTCTCAGCGTGTACATCGCACGTCGTCTCCAACTTCAGTGATGTTCTCGGAAGCTCCAAGTAGGAAAGCCCCAGCGATTTGGCGTCGGTTTTGGTCCGGCCTGTGGACATGGCCGTTGGTTGAGCCCGGTGCATTATTGGTAGAGCGTCCCGGGGTACACCACATGCCGGTCATGTGTCATTCATGTAAGACCAAAGCTTCGACATTGCTAGTGACAGTGGCGGCCTGGAGGCCTTTGAAGCTGCACTACGCAAAACTGCAGAAGAGGAAAGCCCGCCAATCTCCGCCAGATATTTTGTCGCGAGACCAGCACGTGCTAATTAGGTGCACCACGGTGCATGCTGGTCGTATCAAGAAGGCCGACTATACGGCACATTACCGCACCACTGCATGCAGAAAGTGATTGCAGCAACGATACAGGCCGTCACGATCTTCCCCGATTCTTGCTAACTTCGTTGGTCAGCATCAAAGCAGCATGAGATACCCCCTGCTCTTCTCTGACAGGTTTATGAAGACAGCTCGGTCCGCAAGAACCACCATGTCAGGCCAAGCAAATCAAACCATGTACTTGCTCTCGGTTGTCTGCATACAAGACCAGAAACGAGGGTTGATGAAGCCCAACACATGAAGAGGGTTGCATGCACAACACAGGCACCTGAGCGACCAGCGAAGGCTGTTAATGTTGGAAGCGCGCGGCTTTGAATTTGTTACCTCTAGGTCCTAACTCTAGTCTTTGATGCCCTGCTCAAGGTCGAACCGAGGTTTGTTTACATAGATAGCGACGCCGGTGCATAGACGTTGTCCTGGTTGGTACGGGCAGAAAGCAGCTTAAACCTCATGAGTCATGTACACTATCAACAAACTCCGAGTCCTGGCCGTCATGATGCAGCAAGAGTTAGGCTGCTCTGGCAACTTTCTGCGTAACTGCTGGATACTGGGCGCTATTCCTCATTGCTGACGAGATCGATCAGCCGTTTGGCGGAGACCCTAATGACCTGAACCTGTCGAACATGCAGCGCGACTTCAACGACGCCTGGCAAAAAAGCAAGCCCTTTTTGTCTCGTCCTTGACGGGGCAAAGTGTCGAGCCTGACCCTTGAGACTATTTCTGGCCTCTGATGGTCACATGATATCAAGTGCTAAGAGCTACAGAGCGTATTGGGAAGTGCTTCGCCTCTGAGGCCAGCTTGATCACCTTACTGGACCGTAAGACTCAGACCGTACCTTCGTTTCGCCCGCATCAGAGCCACTTTCCTGCACAAAGGCACAGGCGGATGCATGGCTGTGGGTTGCTGACATCTTGCACTATCTTTGTTGGCCTAGGACTGCAGAGAAACTCTACAACAGTGATTGGGTCCCGGTTCCGCAACCCAATGCAGGGGGAGTTCTGGCACCTTGGACTCTTTTGCGACTTCTTTGGCTAACAGGTAGTTAATGCCTTCAGACTTGGCCAGGCCGACCAAAGATCAGATTGCCGGCCCATCGGAAGAGCTCACGAGGCGATTCCATTTCTGTGTTCGGAGCTTCGGGGGATCGGTGAAGAGCAAACGGCAGAGGGGCGGGCGCCAAGGCGACAACGAACAGACACTCGCAACAACTGAAGGGGGATATGTAGAATCACAAAGCCGGTGCCTCCTGCGGGCAGAAGTCTGCGTTGTTCGGTGTTGCTCTTAGTGACCAGTACTATCTGCCAGCACTGGTGCATGTCTTTTCAGACAGCTGCCTCAGCGCTGGTATGCCGAGGGCCCAGCTAGTCGGAGCTACGGCTGATGAGGCCAGTGAGAACGGCATAGTTTCAGGATTCGGAGATAGTGGGAGGGTGTGCAGCTGGACTTCGTAATTTGCATTGTGCTCACCATCACGTAGCCAAAGCGTCATTCTGTCCCAGAGGGCTGGATAGCATGCTTTTGCTCTCGCGGCAGGTCCATCTGAATGTGAGAAGCTCAACCTGTGGGCCAAGTTTTGAAAAAACGTTCATGCACATGTCATGTCGCCCATAGCTGACCTGCACCTGCCGACTGGTTCTACAAAGGTTGGAACGCCACGGTCTCTTGAAGAATGGCCATCGCAGAGTGTTTCGCTTGCATTTGCTGTAAGCCATGCAGGCGGACGAGGCAGAGGTTTGGGACATGTTTCTGTTGACAGGCCCGTCACACAAGAAGGAGAAAAAACTGCAGAAGAAGAAGAAAAAGCAGCCACCTTGGGTGTTTTTGTTTGGGCAATTTTGATGGCGAAAGGGCTGCAATCCAGCTTGCATCAAGGTCGGGAGCAATCATGCGCGAATTGGAGCTGTGCCCCCAGATTCAGTCGACCCCTACAGAAAATCTCTTGATTCCCTGAGCTGCTTCAGGCCGTAATTAATGTTGCGGCAATGGCTGCAAACGTAAGCAACGGTATTCTCAACTTCGGCATTTATGATGATTAATGATTCCAATGTAGCATCGCAGCTGCGATCTTCAACAGAATCTGTACCGACGATGTCCTCCTTGGCACATTCCAAGGCCGGACGAGACAGAACAGGCCCAGAGCATGCCCGACAACAGACAGGAAGCCAGTGACGCTTTGTATGTGGACCAAGTAGCTGCCACTGGGCCGAGAGATGCGCCATCATCCGGCATGCAAATGCAGTTGGGGCTTCGCGTTGAAGCAGAGCCAGGAGAGCTTAAAGAGCGGGCTTCCCTTCTAAACTCTTAGCTTGGGCTAGAAAGCCTCGCAGGCTGTTGCCGAAGGCAAAGCAATGCAGTCGCTGCCATGCCCGGTGTTTGTTTGTTGTTGCCCACTGTGTGCCTCGCATAGCCCCGCATGATGCTACTACTAAGCCAGTCGTCATGGACCCAAGGACAGCGTGTCACGTCAGGGCATGACATAATTTCTGCGTAGAACCACCCAATTTGCTCCCGCCGTGCAACTGCTTCAGGCAGTCTGAAGCCGTTGCATGGTGTGCAGCACGCTGACCACTCTGTAAAGCAGAGCGAATGCAGACCGGTCAACGCACAGTCAAATCCGCATGATATTGGCTTGGTGCCTGGTTGCCTCGTTTAGTTGCACATGCATTCGACCTACGAGGCTTTTGCCGTAACATCACCAGGTTGGACTTCAAAGCACATGCCATACTTAGTATACTTCATCAGTACGTAACAAGGCAACACTATTGATGCCAGGTTGACACAACCCACACCTTGGAGCTGCAGGTGGAGGCGTCTCCCGCTGCACTACCCGCCCCCGAGCTGCACGGCAAAGTGTGCATCAGGAAGACACGCCGGATATGTCCGTTCTGAAGCGACAACCATGCTCCGAGCTCTGGGACAGGCCCAATGTGTGACTGAATCACTTGTTGTCGGTCACAGGGTGCTGTGCGTGCGCCATGTCAAGGTTCCAAGAAGAGGCACGAGAAGCAGGGCGGCAGCCACAGAAACTATGGATGTTATATACGTGCGCCGGTGCCTGAGCTGTTCGCGAATGAAGCGATCAGATCTCGCAGAAAAGCTGGAAGAAAGACTGAATTCCCAAGCGGTTCTGCGTGTTGGATAAGCTGCAATTGCAGGAGGGTGGCATGTTATCGCGTTTTAGTGCATCCATATTATTTGACAACATTCCTTGTATAACAAAGATGCTTTATTTGAGGGTGTGTGTGTCTGTGTGTGTGTGTCTGTGTGTGTCTGTGTGTGTGTGTGTGTGTCTGTGTGAGTGTGTGTGTGTGTGTTCGTGTTGGTGCCTGGGGCATCTCTTTCCCGCTGCGCGTGAAGCGTCCGATCGTGCTTTTGCCTTGTGGCACCTGGTTGGTGGCTCTGCTGTTTGGTTGAGTAATGAGAAGACACAGAGAGCTCTTTTCCACTATAAACTATAAATAAATTGAAGGAAACTGAGTAAACGAGCGCTTCCATTATTGAATCCCAACTCCATGATTGAATCCCAACTCCAATTGCTGATATTTCCTCATAAGAAATGCGAAAACTCCTTTGCAAGTGGAAATGTCATTTGCATAGGAGAGCGCATTAGAAGGCCCCTCGACAGCAAGAAGTCGAGAGCTTCTTCAACGCAGGACTAAAGACGACTGGCTTCTTTTACTCAGTAATCAAAATGTAGGGGCTCCCATCCTTGTAAAACAAAGTAAGATGGTACCTTTAGGCTAGACATGGCTAGACTGCCCTCATTTATATTTGTGACACGATCTACGACAGCCATTAAAATGAAAATGGCTGCCAGGGAGAATATAAGATAAGATGGCACCTCTATTCCCTGAAGACTGCAGAGAGCTCCTTATGGTGTTGTGATGCGAACTATGACAGCGTCTAAACCACTGCCATAGAGCGATCGGTATGTTTTCCAGGATATGAGGGAGGTAGCTGCCACATGCTGCAACAAAAGTTGGTAGAAGTCTTAGGCTCCTTGCGGAAAAGAAGAAGTCGACTGCCGCATAGTAAAATGTGCCAGTCAACAAACCTCTGTGCGTCTGTTGATAAGATCTAGGAAGGAGAGCTCCTCCTTATTTTGTGTTACGTTCTATGGCAGCTACTACAGTAAAGAAAAGGCCATGGACACAGCGAGCGATACCTTTGTCCAGGATACAAGACTGCATCAATAAGAGTAAATTGAATGAACACCCTTGTTTCCATCGTCATTTAGTGATGGCGATGATAGCAATACCTGCAGTCTTCAGTGTGAAGTGAAATAAGACTGAGATGGGCCTTATCAAGCAGGAGTAATGCAAAGCCCCGATGTTCCGGAAGAAACAGAAGATTGCACTTCTATTCCTTCAAAGCTGAAACAAGCTCCCTGTTATCTTGTGATACAGTGTGCCTGTTCTGGACATCACGAAACACTGTAAGCGCCTAAAAACTGCCAGAATTACCAACCTTGAAGTTTTCGAGCATAAGTCTGTATTGCTCGAAGAATTCAACAAGTCCAGATTCCTGGTATCTACTGCTGAGGGGTTGGCGAAAATCTCCAAACGTGTATTTTTTTGAAACTTGTTGAGCATTACCAGGTTTCGATCCTGAAAGACACAAAACACCGTAATGCTCAAAACTCAAAACATCCAAGAATTCCAACATTCTGGCATCTATGGCTGGGGAGGTGGACAATCTCCAAACTGTTGGAATTGTTTGAGCATTAATTACCGTGTGACGCGGCTTGAACCTCACAAAACATTGTAAGGCTCTGCCAAAAATCCAAAACTCGCAACTGTGTCTTTGGGTTTGTCGTTGGAGTTTGAGGACTTTCACACCTGGTTGAATAACAGGGTAGCCTAGTTCGGGCTGTCGCCTGGAATCCGTGCCTGCCTTGTGCGAGTGTGCGAGTCGAAAACTCGCGAAGCACCATAATGCTCCCCAAATTCCGGCTATCTCCAAAATGTTGGAAGTTTTGGAGCTTTTTAGTATGACAGTGTTTCGTGGCCTGAACCTCACTAAACACTGTAATGCTCAGAAACTTCCAACCCCAAAACTCACGAAACACTGTAATGCTCAAAATGCCCAACAAATTCCAAATTGTTGAGATTTTTCCAATCCCCCAACCCGCCAGCAATAGATGCCAGGATCTTGTACTTTTTGTGGAATTTCTGAGCATGGCAGTGTTGAACTGTTTCGTGCACGCCACGCCCCCAAGAACCACCACTGCGGTAGATCTTGGGGGCGCGGGCAGGAAGCATATCTGTATACATATCAACCTATCGATCTATCTATTTATCTATCCATCTGTTTATCTACCCATCTAGCTACCCACCTATCTATCCATCGTTTTTTTTTTGGGGGGGCGGGGGGTTGTTCGACGGTGCTATTTGCCAGGATCCTGACTATCCGGGCGAGCCAGCCAAACCGAAGTTTCGACCATGGCCGGCCGGCTGCCAACTTCGACCAAGCTTCGTCTCCCTTGTCGTTCTAGCTCTTCGGGCCTGCAGTTTAGGGTTTCGGATGTAGGCATACTCATGGCCCAAACGACCCGCAGCCCCGAAACCTGCATATGCTGGTTGTTTTGCATCCTCCCCGACCCCCTGTGGGGTGGGACCTGTGGTGGTACCATTCCCCGCCGCATCCCTCGTTCGTTGTTGTGGTGGGGTCTGCACCCCCCTTAGCTGAGGCTTTGGTTGGCCTGAATTGGAGTACGCAACACGTGTAAACACAAGGACCTGTTGTCACGATTAGTGACTCAACTACTGTTACGGTTACTCTTTATCTTCCTTCTTGCTGTGGCACCGGTGATACTGCTCATGACGTTGTGCTCTAGACGGCGATGCGAGTCGACAATCGGATCATTTTTGACACCGTGCTCAACATCATCATTGTCGGCGTCATCTAGATCATTTGTACCATCAAAAGCATAGCTGCCACCATCACCATCGCCATACAACCCTCATAAGTAAGCATTGCAATTCATGTTTGATGCGAGAAACTGCACAGATTGCCGCTTTCCGCACAGGGGGT